GGTCCCTTCCAGCCCTAATATCTATGAAATCTATGAAATTCAGATTCGGAGATTTGGCCGCCAAATCAGGCCAAATGTCCACTGAATCTAATCAGCAACCAAAGCTTTGCACAGCCCTGCTATCCAACCAACAACTGGAAAGAATATTGCTGAGGTTGGTCACCAGCTAAAATGAATTCTTGGAGTGTATAAATTTGTCACAGTTCACACCCAACTGGTGGTTCAGTCCAGGAGAATAAAATATGAATGATTCTAAAGTCCTGTAGTCCTACATCTACAGTCCTAAATTTTTTTATTACAAACATATTATAACCAGAGCAGATTGAAAGCTGCACAGTTGTTAGCTTAATTAAATGTGCCATCTAGTGGTAATGTAGTAATAGTTGCTTTAAAAAGACAAATGCAGTGATTTTTTTTATTCTTAGGCTAGGAATAGGTGTTGCATTGGCCTCTGGACCAGTGTACCTTTGTCTTGGAACAGAAATATCCTGGAATAGGTGTGTACACACATCACCCTTCTAATAAGGGTTTAGTGAACAGCTGAATACACTGCCATTTTTCTGTCATTAACTCAATGATGCAACCCTGGGATAACCATTCAAATGCATTTGTGCTGTCATGGGTTAAATTGTTAGTACTTCTTTAGGATTTATCGTGGGACAATGGACATGGATGTCTGAACAACTGCACTTTGTCCTGGGATAAAATTGTTTATCCTGGGACAAGTATGACATCTGTTTGTAGCCTTACAATATCACCTGTGGCAAAGGGTGCAAGCACTGGCACAAATTCTTGTTCCCCAATTGTTGATCATCCCCACTTCTTAATTTTCTCAATTTTGGTGTCATATATTCAGAGGGAACTATCTGTGTTGCCAGAAGCTGTTTCCTCTATTGTTATTGGCCAGGATCTTGTTACTTTAGGTTTAAACTTCACCACAAGTTTAAATCATCCATGGACTTCATTTTTGAGTATGTATAGTAGAGTTAACACTAAGGTTACAAAGGGACTTAGATGATCAACAGCTACTATTGCTGCCAAAATCAATTTAACATCTCAAAAATACAGGTCAGCTGCTTTCTAATCTTGGAGCTGTCTAAAGTCCTTACATGCTTAAGTTTCCATCAGTAAAATTCCCTAAATGCCTACATATCTGTCACTGGATATGTATACAACCACCCAAATCCTGAAGCCACTGAGCAGTTGAACTCCTACCCTTTGCAGGATTCTCAAGTAAGGTGTTCCCCTGCCTGTATCCCCTTTATGGCCAAATCATGAAGCATTCTCATAACATGCCTACTGGACTGACAGAAAACAGCCTACTTGGACAGAAAACAGCCAGGAATATGTGAGATATGGGGGAGAGAGGTTTAAGCCCTTTAATTGCGTGATGAACTTAAGTTTTATGAAGAAATATTAGAAGAGACCACTTCAGAATACCCAGCAGCCCAATGGTTATGGCACTCTCCAGAGAGCTGGGAGATCTGGATTCAAATTCTTGTTCTAAATTCAGGGGCAAGGAGAGATTTGAACCTGGATCTCCCACATCCTAGGTATGTACTGTACTCTACAGGTTTTTTGCATAGAAAAGTAGACAATTGGCACCAACATCTTGTTTTGTAAGGTAGGGCTAATCTGTCTTATATGTTTGTGTCTGTGCACCTAACTGAGGGCTGAGGAATTCCACTGGATGGCATATGTCAGAGTTAGTCATTGCAGCAATGAGCAAAGTTGGTGGATTTAGCCCTTAATGCTTAGAAAATAAACCCTATTGCACATTGAGTCCTATCAGATAGATGTAATTGTTCCATATATCATAACTGCTGAAGTCTCATGTAATTTGGTCAGTTTGTGATTGCATGCGGAGATCAAGAAAATATCGACCTAGGCTTTATTGATATCAAAACAGTAAAACCATTGCTAAAGCTGTCAATAGTACTGACAAATTGCTGCATTAATGAATTTGTGATTTAGTAAATCACGTTACATTTTCAAATGCCAGATAATTTCATGTTCATTATGAAGTGTTTTACACAACATATGGGTTATTCTGTTGTGTACTTTTTCACTATAATTAAACAATTCCCCTTCAGAGAGAAGGTAAAAAATGCCATTAGAAATGCTATTAAAACAACAAGATGAGTGGAATGATCACAACATTGTGTTGTATTCAAATATAATCTGATTTTAGGGACCCTCCATTACAGAGGAATATGATTAAATAGGATTGAGAAGCTTCTCTTCCTTAATTTGATTGTTTCCCTATGATGGATGGGGAAAAGAAAAGAGAAGAAAGAAGCTAGGGAATAATCTTGAGAATGGAAAACAGCTTTCCTTCAGGAATGTCCAGGCAAGAGTAGATGAACCCACTTCCAAGTACTTACCAGGTTCAAAAAGGAAGAGACCATGCATCAGGAATTGTTCCTTTCTTCATATGATTAACGATAGAAGTTATTGTATTTACCTAAATCCATGACAACTTTGAATTTAATATGAACTGAATATTCATTTTCAGTTCTATACATTGAAAATTATATATTCGTTATAATTTACCTTGTATAGAATCTAATTACTGGAGGGTTGTCTTCATTTCTCCCACTGCTGTGACAGGGAAAGCAACTATTGGGGGTGGGGCAGGTGGCCTGACCCTTGCCTGTCTCCCTAGCCACTTGCTCCCTGCCCCGCCCCTGCCCCGCCCCCGCCTTTAGTTCCCGTGAATGCTTACGCTATGCAGTGGGTGTGACTGAGACTGGCCCTGGACCTGGGTTGACACCACAGCTAGGACCAGAGCAGCTCCCCTGACACTGCATGGTCTCCCCGGTGCCACTGTCCTCCAACGCTGCACTATGTACTATATCTCCGGTACTCCCCCTGCTGCATGCCTCCTCCCCCACCACACAAGCCACCTTGGCCCTGGCCCGGGTTAGACATCAGCTACCCTAGGCTCAGGTCAGTGTCAGGGCCAGAGTCAAAGCCACAGCATCTGCCTGTTCCCAGCCAATACTCAAATAAAAAATGAGGGTTTCTTCCCCCCATGCTGAATGAGGAAAAAGCTCAACTTGGATTTGAGTAAATACAGGTAGATAGTGAAGGTGATGTATTGATGATGTTTACCTCTGAAGATGTAAAGGGAAATACTTTGTCATTCCATTTCCAATACAGTTCACTTTTAAACAGTATCAGTCTGAAAACTGAATATATGTATACATGAATATCATGTACTCAGATAGTTGTCTGCTTGATTTTAAAAAGGCTCCTTTAAAAACAAGATGTAATTATTTTTCTATCCCTCTCTCCTTTAGGGTATTAAACACAACACTCTTTGAAATGTATGAAGCTCTGGGCAATTTTCCAGCCATGTGGATCTTGAACATAATGCTCCTGATTCTTCAAATTCTGCACTGCTTGTGGTCTTATCTAATTTTAAAGGCAGCCTATAAAGTGATTGCAAAAGGCAAGGTAAGGGAATACAGTGTTGTGTGACATCTCATAGTAAATGTTTCGATTTTAAATGTTTTCAAAATGAGTACATCACACTTACTTTTTTTGTTCTTCTGACACACACTACAGACTTGAGGACCAAGCACTGTACTGTAATACTCTTTTTTCTTCCTTCTTAGAACAGTAATTAGCTCTGTGTACTTTATAACCAAAATATTAGGTATGTGACTGAACATTTTGCCTTATTTTTAAGGACTGATTACATTGTGATCCATGCTTTCTTTTTTTAAGAACAGGTATGTTGTATCCTGTAAGAGCCATGTAAATAGCTGTTCTTCATTCTGCCAGCTGTTTTTCTTCCTGTTCTAAAATGCTTCATAGAGTAGTATTTACCTCCAAAGTGACAACAGCAATAACATCAACAGAAACCTGTGACCATTTGCTCTTGATTAATGGCAAAGCTGTGGGCTGAATTTCTTAAGTCTACTAACAGATGCATTTGGACACAATACATGTCCGTATTGGCATGTCTCAGGAGTCCAACAGATAACAAGATCAGAATGCTGAAATACATAGTCTGTGGGCTCAGTCTTGCTATGCTCCAATGTAGCAAATCACTTGAGTACTTTAAGCATGTGAGTAGGCCCACTGAAAATAAATGTAATTGTTTTGTTTTGATTTTTTTTCTTTTCACTGCTAAATTTCTTAACAAGATCATGCTCTGCACTTTGCTGGATTGAGTCTGGAGTCAGCTATTAAAGATGAGTGCAGTCATGGTCTCTGCTTTGCCTGAGGTCCACATTTGAGTCACCTCTGCTTTAGGAATTCTGAGCCTTAGCCATCTTCTTTTAAATTAAAGCAGTGACTTCACAACATCATTCCTGTGATTCTTTCTTATTCTGCTTCCTTATCATTTCCCTTGTGCTGTCCTGGAAGGCTGGGAAGTGGAACCCTTTGCATGTAAGTTTCTCTGGATATGCTTTGCAAAAGACTCATGCTGTGCAAATCTATGTTCTTCTATTGTTTCCTGTGTCCTTCCTCCTTGTTTCTTCTTGCTACTCCTGCTTATTGCTTAGGCTCTAAGGGCTCCTATACACACGTGTGGAACCTGCTCCGACGCACTGGGAATCCAGCGCATTGGAGCAGACTCGATTAATCGATTAATTGAGTCTTCTGGAGCATGGAAATTGACATACTCTAGCAGCCTTCCATGTTATATGCATCAGTGTCCTTGCGCATCTCCACACTGAAAAAATGGCGGTGGAGCACTTTGAAATAAAACACGTTCAATGAGCTTTAGTTCAAACCACTCTGCCTCCATTTTTTCAGTGCAGGGACATGTAGGGATGTTGATACATGTGACACATGGGTGCTTTTAATTAGCACAGCTCACTAATTAAAGCACCGGGTGCCACATCCCACTGCACATGTAAAAATGCCCTAAATGTTTAGAAAAACCTGTTTTCAATTCTGGGTTTGTGCAGAACACTGACTAACAAAGGAATACAGTGCTTCCTGAGCAAGTTTCCAGATAGCAAAAAAGGCTGGGAGGGCTTACAACCATTTTGGAGGATGGGATTCAAATTCAATAGAGTCGTGATAAATTAGAGAACTGAGCTACAGACCACAGAATGAAATTCAACAAAAACAAAGCGAAAGAGGAAAAACCAAATGCACAAATACAGAACAGGATTTACTGGCTGCCAGTGGCACTGCCAAGAAGGGTGATAAACCCAACATGAGACAACAGTTCTACGGCCTCAAAAGCAGCAAATGCAATTTGGAGCTGCATCAACAGAAGTTTTGTATGCAAGATACAGGAGGTGATAGTACCACTTTAATTGGTACTGGATAAATCTCTCATGGAGTCAGAGGCAAAATACAAAGATGATAAAGGGATTGGAATGCCCTGAGCTGAATTTAACACACATTTTGTTGTATAAAAATAGTTTGCTGTCTTTGTCGTATAAATGACTCCTGGAGTCATTTTTTTAGGATGCACAGAGCTTGACATAGAACAATTAGGTGGTACGCATATATGTGAAGTCTGAACAATCAAATGCCATATACCATTTTCAATTAATAGCACCATATCCTATCATTAACACTGGGGAGGGCAATTTAGAATCTTGATTTTTGCTTAATAGTTTCAGGGGAGTGACAATTACTGATGTTGACTTAGAACCTTAGCCCTAAAAGCTCACAGATTCAGAGAACTTTAGGCCAGAAGAGAGCATTAGATTGTCTAGCCCACTGGTGTTCAAAGTATAGCCAACAGACTAGAGCAGAGTTATTCAGCCTGTGGGGCTCCCCATGAATCCAGGAATTTGGTGGCAGTGTTAATTGCAACAGCCCTGGAACCCTGTGGCAATTAATACTGCCACCACTCCCTTGCCACTACATTTTTGGATTCAAGGGCTAAATGACATGGTCCTGAATGCCAGATTGAGCTAGTACATGGGGCCAGCTCATGGCAAGCCTCAGTGCACAGGGTCTAACCTAATGCGCAGCCCCAGATGTAGTGCACGGAATCAGTCTGCAGCCCTGGATTTGGTTTGGTGGACTGGCTGCACCCCACTCATCCAGCCCACATGCTGCAAAGGCTGAGCACCACTGGTCTAGTCTGATCTCTTCATAGATTTCATAGACGTTAGGGCTGGAAGAGACCTCAAAGATAATCAAGTCCAGCCCCCTGCCTCAAGGACAGGAAGTCAGCTAGGGTCAAAGGACCCCAGCAAGATAAGCATCCAAGCATTTTTTGAATAAGTCCAGAGTAGGTGCCTGCACCACTTCTGGTCTATTCCAGGTCTTGGGGGCTTGGACAATAAAAAAATGTTTTCTTATGTCCAGCCTAAAATGGTCTTGTAGGAGTTTATGACCATTGGTCCTTGTTTTTCCTTGGGGCACTCTAGTGAACAGACGTTCTCCCAGATCCTGATGTACTTATAGGCAGCCACCAGATCCCCCCTGAGCCTGCGCTTTTCCGGACTGAAGAGTCCCATGGCTCTCAGCGTCTTCTCATAGGGTCTATTCTCTTGCCCTCTGATCATGTGTGTGGCTGTCCTCTGGACTTTCTCAAGCTTCTCGACATCCTTTTTGAATTGTGGAGCCCAGAATTGGATGCAGTACTCCAGCTGCAGCCTCACCAAGGCCAAGTACAGCAGAAGGATGATATTCTGAGATTTACTTAAGAAGCATGTATAGATGCAAGCCAGGGGTTTGTTTGCTTTACCAGCTTCGACATTGCATTGGTGGCTCATGTTCATCTTGTGGTCAGTCATGACCCCCAAGTCTCTTTCTGCAATGGTGCTAGCAAGTGTAGCACTGCCAAGCCTATAAGCATGCTGCGAGGTTTTTTTCCCCGAGGTGGAGTACCTTGCATTTATCAGTATTGAACGTCATCAGGTTTGTGTCTACCCACTTACTAAGCTTATCCAAGTGAGCCTGGATCACTAGCCTGTCCTCAGGTGTGGACACTGTGCCCCAAAGTTTAGTGTCATCGACAAACTTAGCCAGTGCGCTTCTGTCACCAATGTCCACATCATTGATAAAGATGTTGAAGAGAACTGGTCCAAAGACAGAGCCTTGGGGGACTGGTTATGGAGCACCATAATAACTCACTGCCATTGGCCACTACTCTGTGGGTCCAACCTTGGAGCCAGTTTCCCAGACATCAGACTAGTGTAGCCGAGGCCACAGTTGCCCAATTCTTCCATGAGGTCATGGGACACCAGATCAAAGGCTTTTTTTAAAGTCCCAGTATATGACATCAATCTCTTCTCCCTTGTCCAGGTGATACATCACCTGGCCATAGAAGGCCATGAGATTGGTCAGGCAAGACCTACCCGCAACAAACCCGTGCTGGCTATCCCTCAGGATACTGCCCTCAGCCAGCTTGTCCAGAAGGGTATCCTTGATAATTTCTCGAGAATCTTACCAGGGTTTGGCTTGTAATTCCTGGGATCTGCTTTCCACCCTTTCTTGAAGATGGGTACCGCATTGGCCTTCTTCCAGTCTTCTGGTACTTCACCTGAGTGCCACGAATTTTTGAAGATTTTTGCCAATGGTTGGGTTATGACACCTGCCAGCTCCTTGAGTACCCAAGGGTGTAATCTGTCACGCCCAGCTGACTTGAAGGTATCCAGCCTCTCAAGGTGATCCTTTACTAGATCAACACTGATGCTGGTTATAAATACACCCTCACCCTGGCCATCCTGTGTCTTGCTAAGCAGGGCGGTCCCATTGGATTGATTAAAGACCACCATGAAGTACTCGTTAAGCAGGTTGGCCTTTTCCTGGGTGTCAGTTATCAGCTGTCCCGTTTGGTTCAGCAGGGTTCCAATGTTACCCTTGCTTTTTTTCCGACTCCCTACATATCTGAAAAAGGACTTTTTGTTATCCTTGATATGTGAAGCCAGATGGAGCTCGGTTGCAGCCTTGGCTTTCCTGATCAGCTCCCTGCAGGTACGGACCAGTACTGAGTACTCCTCCTTGGTTGTACTTCCAGATTTCCATCCTTTATAAGTCTCTCTTTTGAGGTGTAGGAGGTCCTTGAGTTCCCTGGTGAGCCAAAGGGGTTGCTATGCCCTTTTGCTGCCCTTTCTCCGAGATGGGATGACCATCCCTTGTGCTGTCAGGATCACTCCCTTGAGGAGCAACCACTCCTCTTGGACTCTTCCAGTCAAGTCATAATCCCTTAGGGCCTCAACAACAAGCCTTCTGAGCTTGTCAAAGTCAGCTTTCCTGAAGTCGAGGACTTCAGTATTGCTGACTTGCCAGCTTTGCTGACTGACTTGCCAGCTCTTGTATATCATAAGCCAAGGTGCCCAAACCATCAACCCGTGCGCCCTTGGAGCCATTGTATCTGGCTAATCAGGATCCCCAAAAGTTGGAATATTTGGCACTGTGGGAGCATTGGAAGCTGCTCCCAGCCTCGCTTGGGCCATTGCCACACAGTGGGATCAGGGGATCCACCCCCTGCACAGTGAGATCCACCCCCTACACATCTGGATCAGGCCGGGTTACTTCCCATTCTCCCACACATCCTGCATGTCCAGATTAGAGGCAGAATGCTCCTACCTTCCACCCTCCACTCCCACCTGTACACCTAGATCTGGGCCAGGCTCCTCCTCCCTGCTGCCTCATGTCTGAATCAGAGCCACTGCCACTCTGCCCACTCTTCCCTGTACGTTCAGACTGGGGCTGCTCTGCCTCTACCCCCTTCTGTCCCCCCATGGGTCCAGATTGGGACTGGCCCACTCCCTGCCCCCACCCCAGGTAGACAGATCCAGTCAGGCTTCGCACACCCTTCTTCTTCTTCCCCACCCCCTCTGGGTACTGGCACTGACTCCGCATACCAGATTGAGCCCGCTGGCTGATCTGGCCTGCCTACAGACCTGGCACTGCCCATCAGGTCTACAGGGTGAAAAGGCTGCACACCACTGTCATAAGCAAGCTATTAGATCTCATGTACCTGAAGCAGGAAGTTTGCTGCTGGTAGTATCTTAATAAGACTTGCAATGTGGAAACACTTTATTTACAGGAACTTACCTAAAGAGTTACCTGTAGTAAAGCACTAACAATCTTGCCACTGTCCTTGCAAGGATCTGAGGCCTAACCTTGTGTGACATAGAGGTAAGTCCTTCTGGAAACCTTGTTTCATAGTTTGTGCCAGGAAATGCGGCATTCCTGGAGACAGTCTGGGTGAGGCAGCTGGCATACGCATGTTTTTAAAAAAATATTCTGCCTTCCAAAAACAAGGTGCCCCTCTTATTTGTGGGCATGTTGTATTGTGAGAGAGTATAGTGACTTTTTGTAAGTGCTTCAACCATAAACACCCCTGTGGATGAAACTGCCTGTAATACATTTTTTAACTGAAACTGCTAAAATAGAGAATTAAAATTCTGATGACAGCAAAAGTCCAGTGTCCTTAGCATCAGAACTACAGCACTGCTAGACACTGGCAAAAGGGAACTATTCTTATTATCATTTACTTTGGAACTCCAATATATATTGTGTTGTTCTTCTCCAGTTAAGAAACCTCCTTGATTGTGAGGATGGTGGTTGTACTGAGACAGTTAAGAGGGGACACTTGGGACAGATCCTTAGGGCTGCTTCTAAAATATAAAATAATCTCCATAGGAATTAAGCATGTACAGTTGAGTTTCCCACCCTAGGACTCTTTAAATGTTTTACAGAACACACTTTTGGGGGGGGGTTATCCCCTACAATTGACTTTATCATTGTGAATGAATTTGCATGCCAGTATTTCTAGTTCTGTGAGACAGCCAGAGAATGGAAACAAACAGAAGGAAAATCACTGTTGGATTCTAGCTCTCTTCCCATTAGTGCATCCTGATTCTGCTTCATGCACTTTGACTGCTTTTTATATGCTGGCTCTGCCTTTCTTCCTGTCCTGGAACAAAGCAGGGAAGGCATCTAGTAATTTGTCATTTACAGTGCTGTATTTTAGTTTGTCTTCTTTCTTATCACCACCACATTTCACAATGGATCAATCCATTTGAGTAGCATATGTAGGAGGGGAGAGTGAGAGAGGAACTTCTGAAGGGATTACTAGGAGATAAACCTAGAACTAATAATAATGCCCAGTTCTTGAATATCACGATATTACCTATCAACCTCAAAGAGCTTTGCAAAAGAAAGAATAATTTCTCTATTTTATAGGTAGGATACTGAGGGATTGTAAGAGAGCTGTGAACCATGCCCAGCTGTGGATAGACTGCTTCTATTCACTGAAGCGAACAGCCTACTTAAAAAGCAAAATTTTAAGATAAATATTCAATTCATCTTTATAAGTCTTAAGCCAACTAGGTTGTGGAAAAGTCTCTCAGGAAAACCAATAGGAATTACTTCATGAGGGACATATGACTTAAGACTGGACAAAGCATTAGAAAATGTTTTTCAGGGGACAGGGGAGCATTAGCAGGGAGATAGATTGGATTGACCAAAAGGCTCTGATTTTTCCTTCAGTCTGTACACAAATACCTGCGCACTCACTTTCAAAATGAGCACCTGTGTGTCAGACTAGGTTCAGACTTTCATGCGGGTAATGTGTTACCTGCATAGACAGTTATCGGTGTTTGAAATGCATCTAAACAAGTAACTGCAGAAACACATGGTAGACTGGGGCCCATTGTACAGTTCAGTTTCAACAGTCTCTAACTTCTCTGATATTGGTTTGAACAACTGAAGGTTTTTTCAAGCTGCAGGATTTTCATGGGTAATATCTTTTATTGGACCAACTGTATAGTTTGGATAAAGTTAGACAAACTTTAGAATGCAAGGTGTTCTTCATCAGGTCACACAAGTTTTTTCTTTACTTTGTCATATCAACAGCATGCTTCTTCTCACACATTCTGCAGGTAGTAAAGGATGAACGAAGTGATGTTGAGTCAAGTTCAGATGAGGAAGATTCAGTACCTCGTTCAAAGACCCCACAGAGCCTTACTGCCACAAATGGGACCGGTGGCACCAACGGGACAAATGGGTATCTTACCGGTGGCACTTGTTCAGAGGAACATTAATCCTTGCATTTAATCCTGATACATAAACAACGTGAACTGTTTGCTACTGGAAGTAAATAATAAGTTGTAAATGCATTTTCTTCATATATCTCAGCATCAGAAAAAAAAAAAAACTTAGGAGTATCAAAGCATTCTGATAGTGCACTGCCATATTTCCTGTTTGTGAATGAAGACAACACCCCATTCTATATATGTAGGCATGCTGTATGTATATGTAATTGGCACAAAGGGAGCAGTATTTTCATTTGTACTGTCTTTGAATATTATTTATTTTGTATATGTTTTTGGGACTTATGGACAAAAGGGAATTTCCGCATTCCTGCTTTTTGGATTTTTGGTGGTGGAGATCAATATGCCAAGATCTCTTCTGTCCACTCCTATTGTTCTTCCTTAGTCTCCTATGAGTAGTAGTCTGCTCGATTTGTCACCTCCCAGTAACATATGGCACAGCTTTACGAATTCTAGTTCTTCAAATCTTTTGCTCTTTGGGTTTTTAAGTGCTGGTTTTGAAATTGCCCATAACATCCCAATGGCCATTTTCCCAACAAAGTTTTAAAACTATGGGGGGGTTTTTCAAGTAGTCTGTAATGCTTAATCCATAATTCACAGAGGAGTATCACGGCTGCTTATGGGGCAGCATCAACAGCTGCAAGCACTGTGGTGGTGGCGAGGGCTATTTTTGCACTTCCCCAAAGGCAGTACCTGAGGCTGCTGCCCCAGTTGCTCCTTTTCGGTTATAATTCAAACAAATCCATGATAATTGCAGGATATTATTTTAGTATGGTACCAAATTCAGAACCAGTGGTTAATTGCATTTGAGTAACTTGATTACTTCTGCAAATGCCCAAAATACATTTGTCAATAGCTATGTATGACAAAACACAGACTTGCAGATTAGTTCTTCCTTGCAAGTCTGACCTCTATGGATTTCAGCTTCTTACATAGATTTCATGCCAAGAGATATTTGCTCAGGTGAACCATTGTGAAGCCTAGAGTTCACTCTTGAATTTTAGTATTTGTTTCTGCAAGTTTGGAAGGAAGAAGCAGTGACAATTTAAAACAGTAGCCAAAAGTTCATTGCTTCACCAGACAGTAGGCAGTCAATATCTTGTTCTCATCACAGCTTTCTTGTTAGACATTTGTGGAGGGAAAGCAGCATGTTTTGCATTATCAGGAAAAAATTATTTTAAACACATGAAAACATAAGCAAAATTCCCCTACCAATTCATAGGAGACTTTCAGGGCTCATGAATATTTGTATTAAACTTAGAAGTAAAGCTTAGAAGTGGCTGTAAGATAATTTGGCTTTCCTGTGTAATTTTAAGTTGTATGGGTAGGGTGTAAACTGCTCCCAAAGGAGCCCATATGAGGAACACTTGAAAGACACTATTTCTCTTCTTTCTATATGAGCGTACTCAGTTTCTAGGAAAACCTTGAGAGAAGTATTGCTAAGAAGACCACTTCACTCCTCTGTTTAGCAACAGCATTGCCAGAAACAGGAGAGGTTTCTGGGAAACAGTACTCTATGCAACCTGCTCTTCGGCAGTATTGTGTATGGAAGCAATGTGCCTATAGACCAAAGACATTTGTAAAAAGATGAGGAGGAGTGAACTAGCAAAAGGAAAGTGTTGATATGAGCAGTGAAAGCATCCTCAGCAAGAATACTGAGAGACAAACAGGTTGTTTCCTCACACCTATGCAAGCATCAAAACACAGATGGTTTTTCAGACCCTATGGTATTTTTAATGGCTTTGTTACTTATGAATTGTATTAGAGAAAGCTTCAGTGGCACTTTGTGTGAGACACTGATATTTGTCCAGTTCCAGCAAGTGTTTGTTCTGGTTCTTGAATGTCTATGGAGCCATCATGGACAAGAGCCCTAGTATGTTAACCAAAAATGTGCAGAAAATAAAGGGAAGGGACATGTATACTGACTCCATGTTGACCCCAGGAGCACAGCTGAGAAGCAAACCCTGTCAACTTAACTGTAGCTTCATGCATGTCAAAGACTGGAAATGAGGCAATGTAACCACATGCTAATGAATATGCCTAAGAGTGGTATTCAGCATTGGACTCTAAGGAAACTGCATTACTTCATTTCCAGGATTCAGTGACACTCCTTGATTTGGTGTGGAGGCAGCATAGATGTGCCTGAAGTCCTGAAGAAGAATGGTGCTTTAGTGGTGCTGTCCACTACAAAGTGGTGGTACTTCACAGAGGAGTGCCACCACTCCACAAGAAAAATGGAAGCTAATAAGGCATGAGAATAAAAGTAGAAATGCTAGCAGTCTCTGAAGAAAATACCCTGTATGTGAGGGCTGAAGTGGCAAGTGTTGTAATCATCAATTTTGAGACCACATGGAGAGATTTTCAAACAAGACTATCTTCCTGGGATACAGTGAATTAAATTTTTACCTCCTGAAATTTTACCTGACAAGATGATCAGTAAGAAAAACTGACAACCTGATGTACAACAAAGTAGATGGCTTCCTCTGTTGTTTTTATTTTTGTATAAGGGAAACAGTTTAAGTTAGTGTATCCCAAAAAGGTTTTGGGAATTGATGAAACCTCTGCAAGTTCCGAAATGCTGGCAAATAGCTTTCATGTTATCTTAAGGATGCAGTCTTCGTTTAAAATAATTGTGTACGTTGTACATACCTTCTTAATATCCGGAACAGACTAGTTACAATTAGAGTTCTCTGTGTAATCAGAGAGCAGGCATCACAGTCTGGCCTTTACCTCAGATATACCCATGCAACTTCTTTGCCTTCCCCTCTAGTGGTATTGGATACTGAGTCCTATTAACAGAATGAAATAGGCTTTAATGAAGGTGCACCTTGAAATGGGGAAAGATGGGAGTCTGAGAGTGGGCCATTGGAAAAATAGGGATGGGGGATTAAGAACTATCAAGAACTTTACTATTCACTGCTGAACCATAGTATTTTTAGAGACCTGAAAATTGAGCAATTTTCTCCCACCCTGAGCAAAATGAACCAAAGGCTTTTTTTGACTTGGGTCGTTACTTCACCCAATAAAAGCCAAAACAGTTTTGGTTCAGCCTTTTCTGAGAGGCACACTGGTGTGCCAAACATTTAAAATCTTTTTTATTGGAACCCGGGTTTATGCCTCTAGAGGCTTTGTAGTGGGGATGGGATGCTTTTGGTGGCTGTTAAATATTTTTTAGGCAATCATGTATACAATTAAACTTATGCTTTGTGAATAAAGTTAATTGAATTATAAATGGTTCACACAGCTCAGTATAATTGCAAAGGATTGGAAGGTTCTGTACGTCAATCGCTGTCACAGTACCATTACGTTTGCTCAGAAATGCGAGTATGTATGTTGCAATCAATGAGTATTTTCAAGATTTTTGTGTCCTAGTAGGCTTTATTCCAATTTAGTCTAATTCATTTTCTCTGCTCCCTTCTTGTAGTACAGTAGGAGACAGTGGTGAGATGTGTAAGTAGATAAATGAAAAGCAATGTGTAGACTTTTTAGCAAATAGTAAGAATTGTCTTCTATTTCTAATCTGCCCTGCTATAAAGTAAACTTAGATTCACTTCTCTCCATGTACTCTCTTTTCAGTATTGACATGCAGCAAAGCAGGAAAGTACATGGTTTTCTTTAAAAAAATAAAACTAAGTGTTATAGAGAATGCAAAAAATATATCTAATCAGAGAGGGTTGGGTGGTTTTTAATTCTTCTTAAACTTGGTAAAAAATACCAACAAGTGACACAAGTTGTTCTCTTATTGTCATGATGTAGATTTGTTTGCTTGTTTGTTTTTTGCTATGATTTATTTCATTTAATCTTTCTAACAGCTAGAATGGGTCATAGCTTCCTTCTCTAGACATTGAGATGCATTTTCCAGCCTGGTATCCAGTCTTTGTGACCAGTCAGCATAAGTACTGTTGCCAAAACCCCTTTTCATGTGCATGTGTGCACCCCAACCATGTGCACAAATATTTAGCTTACTTTCAAGTAATTCTTGTGCTAAATTTGAATTGTCATGAGCGACAGAAAATCACCATATGTCCATGATCACAAGACGATGACAAAAAATAAAGATTGCTCTGCAACCAAATGTCACTGATAATCAATTCAATGTCTCTGGTTAGACACTGCAAATAAATGATACAGAATATTCTTGTTGGAAGTCTAATGCCTGTTTTGTTCATTTCTCTTAACCGCACATCATTACTGCGACATCCTGTAATTCTCAAAGAAAATTGGTCAGTTGGTTTTCTACTATTGATATTTTTAATTCTTTTTGCTGTAGTTCATTCCTTACATATTTCCACTTTTCTACTACTTGTGACCTTTGCTTCACAAGGATTAGCTGACCATTGTACCCTCTGTTGTAATATGCATCAAAATAGGCCCAACCTCATGATTTTCTGTAAATTACAGTTGCCTTGAACCCACAAAGCAAAACAAGTTTATATTATGTGTTTTGAGTGCATGGTTTAGATTCAGGACCTAATGGGAACTTTACTAAGAGAGCTTATTTTTTGAGCATTCACTGAAGTTTGGAAAAATGACATACTTGTACAGCCTTTAAACAGTAAGGATTTCTGATTGTAGTTGCAATGAAAACACAGTATTTGAGTGTCTGCACTGAGTTCTCAGTGTCTGAAGAACAGGGTTGCTTTTTCCTCCCCTTTTTTTTTCAAATTGTCTCCAATTTCATTAAAGGAAGACATACTGTGAAAAGGTATTGGAATGTTGTCAACCTAGGATTTCAGTGATCAGAGAAACTGTAAACCCAAATGATTTCTAATATTCTATAGATCTTTAATGATATAAAGATCTAGGAAACAAAACTTAAACATTCTGGTTTCCATAAAGCTTTGAGCCTTTTCGCTTGAGCCTGTAATTCATTAGCTTTACTTTGATGAATGTTTGCTCTCATGCTACTTTGCATGCTGTTTTCCTGCTGTGAGCCAGGGTGGGCCAGCTAACACAATTTCAACTGTGTTTTCATGACAATTCTGTGCTTAAGCAACTCTCAGAAATACAGTGATGTGTTAGCTACTTAGAATTATTTTTATGTATCAATATTGTGCCGAATTTTGGGGAGTTATTTTGTGTTTTACTTGTTTTGGAGGGGCGGGTTCTTTCTAATATGGGAAATTATAATTATCCCTCATTCCTAAAGCCAGTCAATATTGTGGATTATTCTAATTTGGAGACGCATAATAAACATAAGTATTAGGAATGTAATGTTAGTTTCTGTCTCTGTTCTGTGAAAGGAAACAGCATTTTCTTGTGTCCATGACAACATTCCTTAGATCAAAGGGTGTTGTCCACTGTACAGACTATAACATTTTCTAGAGTAGTCTCATAGATTGGGTTAGTTCCGTATTATCTGGGATTTATTTTTGCTATTTCCTAGACTTCATTGTCCCAGAAATAAGTATTTAAGCAACAGATTCTCACTGACTCAGAAATCCAAATTCTCTCCATAGGTATAAAAGTCAAACAAGATTTCCAAAAACAACTAATGCCCAAAAGTGCCTTTTTTGGATGTCCAACTTGAGATATTTTGAAAGGGTGTTATTTTTAACAGTTCTTTTAAAGCATCTCAGGTAGGGCACCTAAAACCTGAAATGCCAACAGTAATTTATTTTCTTGAAATCTTACTTAAAAACGTGCAAAAGAAAAAGCAGATGCACAAAAGAAACTGTACATTGTCTCAGGTTCTATTCAATGGTTTAGGTCAAAATGGTGCTGTTACTTTATCAGCTGTCTTCTAAAAATGTCCCACTGTTACTCACTCTGGTGTCACTATATTGATTAGGTTTAATTGATACGACATTCAAAAGGTCTTTGATTGTGGGAGTGCCGTCTGCCCTGAGGTGCTATAATGAATGCAGCTGCACCAATACTTGCCTCGGTGGAAACATTTATAGCTTAAACAGGCTTACTGTCTGATTTATGACAGCACTTCCATTTTTCACTACTGATTTGCTAAAGCAGAAGGGTTCATGGTTTAATCTTCTTGTGGAAAACTCTCAGTATGTAGCAGTGCAATTAGCTGTGAACACATTCTGCACATGCATTGAAAAAAAGCCCACAAAAGACTGGTTGTCAAGCAACATCTGCTAAAGGTTTACTGGATGTTGTAAATTATTTAAGAGACACAGGGCATAGAAATCTGGTCCAGGCATTACAGAGGATGAGAGAACACAGTGCTGGCCTCAGATGAATGAGTCCTTCCACTCATCAGTTACACTTCTGCTTGAGTCAGGAGTGCCCAATCAAGGGATTATGGATTTAATAGAAAAAGTTAATTATAATTAATACATCTACATGATAAAATGCACACATTTTCAAGTTTATCCTAACATATTACATTTTCAAAATACAACATTTAAATCCCTGTTTGTCCAAGAGGTTCATTGGAAGTTTTAATTATGTGAAAACCTGTCCCATATAATGCATCTGAAATCTTTCAGTGTTTATTCTGCTTCTATCTCTGCTGCTTACACAACATCTTAGAAAGCTAGCATGCATGGAAAATGTATGTGAAATTTTGTGGGAGAGAGAAGAAGTAGTTCCCTGACAAACTGTCCCAGAACCCACAGAAATCTTTTTATACATAGAATACCTTGGCACTTAGCTGGGTCTAGGTGTGTCCGGCCCGGAGAAAGAAAGTTCCCTTACTCCTTTAGAACAAGAAAATAAAACCAATGCAAGCTACCACAGAGGCTGATACTTGTTAGGCTGACATTAACTCTTCCAAGATGGCTTCACTTCATTTGGAGAGAATCAAAATGCGCAGCTATGATGGCCAGTTGAGCCAGTTGTAGCATAACTTAGTAGTGAACCATGATGCTATGGATGGAAGTCCTGCAATCTACATGGAGGAGCTTCCATTGTTCTAAACAGGGATCCAAAATGGTCATGGTGAGGGAAGCCCAGGGTTTATCCTGGGATTTTGGACTTTCTTCCCATCCAGGCTGTAAAGCAGATATTTCTGTATTTCTGTCCTGCAAATAAAGTTAGGCAACATGTTCACAGAATCAAAAACCTAGAAGCTTTGCATGTGTATTAAGTTGTCCTTATCAGCAGGTTTGAGAGGAAGATGACAGTCTGGGGGGGGGGG